AGGTTGTAACTTAACATGAAATGGTACTCGGGTGGCCCGTGGTGCGCACTAAGTGTGCGACCACACTCCTCTCGGCCAAACCCCATTAACATGACTAATTTCACCCGAATAAATAAGTTCAAATAAACATGATTTCGCAGATAAAAGCTAAGTATGCGAGGATTATTCGGAGAATTCCATGAAAATCATAACATGATTCGGTGAATTAATTTATAACATGACATGAACGCAGGGCTACGGCTACGATTACTCAAAACACGCATGCATGAACAAATAAATTCTAATCTTAAATAAACATGATATTCTAGGGCAAAATCCGACGGGAACTTACCTCGTATTAAACTCAAGAGGTTAGTAGACTCGAAACCGTGCTCTCGGCCGTGCCTCCGCGTGCGTGCGTGCGGTACGGTAGCGACGGCCTGGACGCGTGACGACTCGCGGCGTGCGGTACTTGCGGTACGCGACGGATTGCTGCAACACTCGCGTACACCTGAACGTTGCGTGACCTCGGACTAGCGCGCGGTAGCGTGCGATGACTCGTGGCTCGCGTACGGAACTCTCGGCAATGCTCGCGCACAACACACGCAAAAATACACAACTCACACTATGCTCTCTATATCTCGCTACTCTCGGCACTTATGAAGGAAAAGGAGTAAAATGCTCCAAAGTCTCCCAAGTCACACTTAAAAACCGAAGGATTGGCGGAGAAAATGAGGGGGAGGATTTCACATGGCCACCATGCACTAGTACTTGTCCCATTCACGTGAGAGCCAAGACAAAAGAGCAAGAAAGATGCTCGGTCAAAGTACCATAACATGCACGCATTTGAGACAAAATGCACGAGCACACATGCACAAAATACAAAATGGCGCACGGACAATGAGGGGGGAGAATCTCGAGCAAAAGGACAAGGCCTATTTTTGGAAGGATGCACGGCCTTGGACACTCCGCCCACTAGACTTTGCACGGCATTCATGGACAACACACGCACGGTCTCCTAGCAAGATGTTGGGCACGGATTCTCTCGGACGAATGCACAACACGTGCACGGCATTCATGCGCAAGAAATGGACCGAGACTCTAACACTCCATGCACTTACACATGAACTTGGAACGAGTACTAACATATAGCATGAGCATGAATACGCACGGTATTAACACATATGCGCACGGCAATGGCATGGCTCGGAGTAAAATCCGAACAATTTAACTAATCTCGTGATTAAGTAAAATTAATCACTTAATTATGTTTAATTATCCAATTAAACATAATGCTAAATTACCAAAATTATTCTGAACGTAAACGGTACGTCGAAAATAGTTCTGGTAATTTCTACTGAAATAACTGAAAATAATTAATTCCGAAAAATAATATCAGAACTAAAATATTATTAATACTGATAAAAGTCGGGATATTACAGCTTAGCCATCGAACCATCCCCCGACCAAGGTCGAGACTGCCAGCCGCCAGAGTTCGGGCCCAAGCCTCGAGGAGGTGCCGACCTTCGTCCTGCCAGGAGTTTTGTTTTTTAGGTTTTGTGTCCTTGGTGCAGTTAGTAGTCCATTTGATCCCTCTTTCGAGCTCTCCAGTGAGGCAAGGTGGTGTTCTCGCGGCGGGTCCCTTTCCATTCCCCGGCGTGGATGGTTTTCCGGAGTTTTAGATCTGATTCGAGAGCAAACTCTTCCCCAGATCCGTCTAGGCGGCACAAGTGGCCGCAGTTTTTGGGCTTGAGGTTCTGGTTTGTGGCTTCGCTAGATCTCTTTGCTAGTGGATGTGGATCGTTTGAGGTCTCGAGTGCCTTGGCGTTGAGTCTATTATGTGTAGGGAGGTCCTAGTTTATTTGTTTATTAGGTGTGTGTTTTTTCTGTATTACGTTTTGTCAGTCTCGCTTGTCTGATTTATCTCCTTTATGGAGTTTTCTTCCCCTTTTTGGGATTTTGCTTTGGGTTTGCGGTTGCCTCCTTATTGGAGTTGTACCTCTTGGATTTCTTTGGAATTTTAAGAGGTAGGTCCAATTATCAAGTTCCTAGTGTCAGTTGACATCTTTTGTGTAATCATTTTGAGTTTTCTAATTATAAATTGATTTGCAGTTGGAAAAAAAAAAATTTAAAATAATTTTGATACAACTTTAAAAAAAAATGTCTCCATCATCATAACAATAATAATAATAATAATAATAATAATAATAATAATAACACCACGAAAAAACAACAAAGAAAAAAGATATAAAATTCATGCACCCCACTACTTCTCCCCTTTCAGCAGCCTCCCACCACCACCTCCGACGCCTTCCCAAGGCCGACGCTGCTGCTCTGGTGATCTCCAATCGTTCTCGTGCAAGACGACAACCAAATCCACAAAAGCGCGCAACACGTTCCTGTGAGTCATTTCGTTGTTCAAATCCAAATAACGAAACAAAAGCTCTTCCAGAAAATCCCAATCCACTTTCTCGCCGCCGCCCAGGCGCACCTCCACCATCTCCGCCATCGACCGCCGGAATTCCCTGTATGGACTTGGAGAATACTTTAGGATCGCGATGAAATCGTCCGCCTCGATCTCCTCTTTTTCTTCTCCGCCTCTGAATTTTTGCCGGAGAAGTTCTTCGGCGGTGGAGCCAGGTTTTTTCTCGCATCCGATCTGTTTAATAAAATCGATTGGGCGTGTTGCTCCTTGATTGTCGCATCCTCTTCGTAGAGTAATTTGAAATTTTTCAATAGGAGGCGGGCGTTGTCCTGCAAGTTTGCGCCGCCGCTTTTGTGCCCATCGCCGTCCACCGTATTGAGGTGCCTGCTAGCACGGTATTTGTTTGATTGGATATGTTTGCTGGAAATTTTGATTTTTTGAGAAGCGCTAGTGCAGCTGAATTTCTGAGTCTGCTTCGACATTTTTGGGTTTATTTTTTCAGTGCAAAAATTTTTGTAAAATGTTTTTTTTAATTATTATTATTAATTGGGTTTTTGGGAAAGAATATTCGCAATTTTGAAACTTTATGAAGTGAGAAATTTATACTGTAGTATGCTTTGATATTGGAGTTAATGTGCAATTACGGCAAATTCTGATGGAAAATATTTTGCCATTTGTATTTATGTCACAAATTAGAGTCCGAGATTCTGTTTGTTTTATATAAGCATACATGGATTAATTTTGTATTCATCTCACATTCCACTCGTGACATGAGTAACATGCAAATTTAGGTAATTTCTGAAAAGTATCGACTGAAAAATATGTTATACTCCAGTAGGTAAGAAGCATTTATACACCTTGGAGACCGTGGAATGTTTTACAAATTTTAATTTTTTAACAGTTTTGCTATAGAGTCATTGAATGACTCGGCTTATGGAGCCATTCACAGTTATTTACACATTGTGTATTGACACGTGTCCTACAATAAATACACTTTAGACATGTGTTAATATATTAAGTGATAGATGGCTCCATATGAAAACGATCCGATGGCGCCATAGAATTTTTTTTTTAATTAAATATTTTGGCTCATTTAGTATTTATCATTTGGATCATTTTATATGAACATACAAATTGATATAGATATAATGTGTAGATGACACAATTTTATTGTTTAATAAATTATATTATTATTAAAATCACAACAAGTTCCATAACAATTTTTTTTTTCTAGACGAGATAATTACAAATAGTAAAATTGTAAAAAAATTACATCTACTAACCTCACTTTGTGATTACACAGATGATCAAGGGGACTAGACAAACACAAACACATGAACAAAGACAACAGAAACACAAAAACAAAGCTCACAATGGGAGATTACTAGTGATGAGCACGGGACTCAGAGAATTCTGAACCGTTCCGAAAACCGAATCAAAAATACTCCGAATCGAAAAACAACCGTTGACTGTTTGACTTTCTCCGAACCAAACCGAACCAAAAAAATAATTGGTACGGTTCTGGAGATTTCACAAATATCCGTACCGAGAACCGAACCGAAGCGAACCGTCCCATATCGTACTGAATCGAAGAACCGAAACTACGAACTGAATTATAACATTAGATGTGCAATTAATATATTTTATGTCAACTTTGATCTTATATAATATAGTAATAACTTTTAACCTTCACTTAAATTTCATGCTTAGTAATATTTGATCTAAAATTTTTTTTACCATAAAAAATTATTTCAAATAATATGAAAAGTTAAAGAATATTTTATTAGTTGCACAAATATTTTATTGAAATAATTATTTGAATTTTAAATTTTCAATATTAGTTGCACAAATTTAGTCTTAGTTAAAATTTAGAGTTACCTTTAAATCAAACTTTAATATGAGAAGTATTGATGAAGGTTGGTTTTATTAAAGCATATAAAAATTATATAAATAAAATTTAGTGTTACTTCTAAAATTGATTTCAAAATAAAACCTTTAATAAGATGAGTATTGCTCAATGTTGTTTTTTTAAGCATATAAAAATTAAAATATAACTAGGTAGTCATTTAAAAAAAAATAAGAAATCTCCAAAGATCCGAACCAAATCATACCGAACCAAACCATCCCAATAGCCCCGAATACCATACCGAACCGAAAATAAAAATATCCGAACCGAACCGACCTTATGGTACGGTTCCGGAGATCAAATTTTGGGATCTCCGAATTTTGGTACGGTTCTGGAGATTTATCAATCTCCCAACCGTACCGATTTTGCCATTTGAATTTATGTCACAAATTGGAGTTCGAGATTCTGTTTGTTTTATATAAGCATACATTGATTAATTTTGTGTTCATCTCACATTCCACTCATGACATGAGTAACATGCAAATTTAGGTAATTTATAAAAAATATTGACTGAAAAATATGTTATACTCCAGTAGGTAAGAAGCATTTATACACCTTGGAGACCGTGAAATGTTTTACAAAATTAAATTTTTTAACAGTTTTGCTATATAGTTATTGGATGGCTCGGCTTATGGAGCCATTCACAGTTATTCACAAATTGTGTATTGACACGTGTACCACAATAAATACACTTTAGACATGTGTTAATACATTAAGTGATTGGTAGCTCCATATGAAAACCATATCCAATGGCACCATCGAATTCAGCTTCTTTTAATTAAGTATTTTTGCTCATTTACTATTTATCATTTGGATCATTTTATATGAACATAAAAATTGATATAGATATAATGTATAGATGACACAATTTTATTATTTAATAAATTATATTATTGTTAAAATCACAACAAGTTCCATAACAAATGTTGTTTTCCAAACGATGATAATTATTAATAGTAAAAAAGTAAAAATTATTACATCTACTAACCTCCCGTTGGGATTACACAGATGACCAAAGGGATTAGACAAACACAAACACACGAACAAAGACAA